TGGGAGGGACTAAGATATTTGGTAAGTTTATTAAGGGTATCCAGGCCTGTGATGCTTTAATTCAGCCCATTATTCTTCAAATCTGTCATTTCCAACTGTAAGTGAATCCTTAGGATAGGAAAAAGTTTTTGTCCCTTTGAATTTCTTAGGTTTTCCATATTTTTAACACTTAAACATTTCAGATCATCAAATAAATTTGAATATTAGGCAATGATGACCAGAATAAATACAAAATGCACTTTTTAAAACATAATTTTATTGTTTAATTCTTAAGGGAAAAAGCTCACAAGGGCAGAGAGAACCATGGGCTCAAGAACTTGTGGTCATTAGCCTCCTCTGCAGGAGTCCAACCCTGAATCACACTCATGTTTTACAGTCTGAGTCGCATCATAGATGCTATTATACCCAGCTGCCGTAAGATTGTCTGGAAGTGGAAGTGTCTGCATCCCAACTAAAATTAACTGAGGCAGCAGAAAAATGCAGCCACTTGAGGAGAAGCATATTTCCAACCCAAGAAAAGACCTGCTGCCTTTGCGTTAGCAAGCTTTATATCAAGGTTCGAGTGAGCGGCTGGTGTTGTTTTTAGTAAGACCAAGGTATTATCCCTACCACCACATCAACCTTATGATTGTGCCATAGATCCTTTCCCAGGTACCCCTTTGCCACCTAGCTGGCTTTACAACCTGTCTCGACGGGAAAGAGAGGCCATGGAAAACTATATTCAGGAATCACTGGCAGCCGGCATCATCCACCGCTCTTGTTCACAGATGCAGGTTCTTTTTTCGTGTCCAAGATGCTTAGCATGCTCATTCCATATCCAGTGTGTGCATCCAGTGTGGGTGTCCAGTGTTTTTACCCACACTGGATCCAGTGTGGATACTAGATGTCCACACTGCCAGACGCAAAGGCCGAGCTGCTTGGCCTTTGCGTCTGGTGGGGCCTTGACCAGGGTGCCGTGTATATATGTTTGCTACAAAGTCACTGTGGTGTTTCAGTTGCACTGTCTTCTCACGGGGTGTCTTAAAGAATATGTAACAGAATGGAGAGAGAGTCTCGATATGATAGAGAACGTATGGTTACTCTGTAACCTTGGTTCTCTGAGTGAGTGACTATCTCTCCAGCTTCAGGCCGCTCAGAGACATGTTTCGATCAAACTATCACTGGTTTCACATCTGAACAGCTGTTTCGTTTAAGCATAAAACAGCTGTTCAGATGTGAAACCAGTGATAGTGCTGTAGGGTGTGGCTGAAGCTGGGCCATGTCCTGCTATGATTCCAGCTCGTGCTCAGCTAACCTCTAAAAATACTCATGGTCAGCCCAGCTAGTTGCAAGAATACCGCACAATCCTCACTATCAGAGGTACGTTACAGCAGTTCTTCCCAGTCCTTTCTCCAAACACATCACGTCTTTACAAAGTTGTGCACTGGAAATGTGTAAGCTTCAGGCTCAGTCAACACTCTCCTAGCGTGGACAACCTGTGGCCAGATGGGCCACTTTCTCTTGTGGCACGCCTCCCAAAGAAGAGCTGTCTCTTTTGCCTCCCAAATGGCTCGTAGTTTATTATCATCTGTAGCCTTATATTTTAGCTTTACTTGGCAAATATGAATGCTTTATGTGCTGATAAACACTTTTTCATATATAGGGTTTTTTTTATAAGAAGCCCTATAATTTCCTAATTCTGTGTATTTCTTCTGTTACAAAAGCAGGCATTCTTACTCTTGTTTAATATTGTAATCAAACTTTTAATTTTAATTTAACACAAAGACAAAACACTGCAAACAAACACACAGAACAGAAACAGAACCAAACTCGGTAGCCAAACAGTATGTCCTCAGTGCAGGCTGACATTCAAAAAACTCACATGCCTCAGCTTGGATGGGCTGATTTGGTTTCTTCTCTTATGTATCTGCTTCTTCTTTAAACGGGAGCCACATGCTGCTTCGTTTACGGGTGTCAGTCATATTTATGTGTTTTTGCGATGCACTCGCACCCTCTTCCTCTCCGCTGTCCACCGTTTCACTTAATGACTGAGGGGGTAGTGAGGTGCGTAGCGATCCTGAAATATTGATATTTCGATTACCAGCGTTTCATGTTGCAGGATCAATGAAATATCAATATCTAATAATTTCATTAGATTTTTAAAAAAATGTTTGTTTGTTTTTTACTTTTAATCATAAATATGACATACAGACAAAAGTAAACTCGGCAATCAGGGCTTTGGGGGTGCTGAGCACCAGGAGAGGTGCCCAGCCAAGGAAGATAAACTTTACTTGTCACAATGAGACTTCTTCCCTGTCTCTGTCAGTCCCTGCATCCCTAAATGTCTCCAGTTGTCCCAAGTTCTCTCTGACTGTCTCCTTGGTGCATTTAAACCCCTGTTCTCATCGTCTCCGTTATCTTCGTCTCCGTTATCAGTCATCATAATTTTACCATCTCTGTGCAAGTCTGCAAACTTTTTTATTAAATAATAAGATTCTTCATCAAGTCTCAAAACATGAGATCACTGTTTTGTACATTTTAACACAATTTAATAAGCATATGCTTCAGCCAATACCTTTTCATTAGCCTTGTCTCGGTTTCTTGCTTTGTGGTAGATCTTTATTCTGTTTTCACTGAGATATTTGAATGCTAATCAATAAATCAATATTCAATTCTAAAAAAAAAAATTCTAATCCCCACATTTGTGAAAGAAAAGCAACAGTTTTTTTTAAAAAGTATGTATCAAAACCATCCAATCTGACAAAGGTTATTTAAATGCTGCCAAAGAAGAATGGATTAGAATAAAAAAAAAAAAACATATCCTAACCTTAATTACTGGGGGAGAATAATGAATGATGTGAGTAAAAAGTAAACTGAGTGCATTTTTTTGGACAGAGATTCACTTTTAAAGTGTATATATAATATAATACAGATACATAAAAAAACACACTCCAAAAATAGAAGAGTCCTTGAAATGTACAAAATATTAATTTTAAAAAAATTATAAAAATGGAGACAACTGTGCCTATGGTACAATGTATGAAAAGATCTTTACTGCAGATACTACTAATATGGCTCTGCAGATTTTTTCTTTTATTTAGCTCACCTTGAGGTTGGCAAATCTAGCACTGTTTGGTGGTCAACTCTCTCAGTTTCTGTTTTGCCCGTCACTATTCCCTGTCTGTTTTCTTACCCGATTCTTCCTGACCTTGTACTTTCCCCTCTCCCTCTTTGGACTGACAATCATACACAAATAGATTGTATTAGATGAAAAAAGTTAAATTAATATGAAAAAAATACTATTGAAATCACTAATATAAAAGTCCCCTCTCAGTGTACTTTCAACCAACAGGCAAATAACCAAACACAAGAACATCTAGTAAAAGATATAAATACTGAAACACTGATCCAACATTATCCTTTATTGACGGATAATTTGATCTTACACTTTTAACTGAATGTGGCTCCTTTTTTGAAAAAACTTCCTTATATCCATTATGAACCTGGCTGTCTCTCTGAACACACACACACAACAGGAGTTATAAGGCTAATGGGATGCAGTCAGTTAGCTGGTAAGTACCTTGGGTTTAATATCGGCACATATGACAGACTAACCGGCATCTCTCATTCCTTTTCAGACAGGACAGTGGTAACAACAGCAGGCAACAGACACTTTTAAGTTTTAGATTTTAAATAGGCTGTATACATTTCAATGGGAGCAACAGGACGGTCAAATGTCGCTGATTTTACTACAGAGCAGGACGAATTGTAGGGTAGCAAACATCGTCGGAAAACACGTTTTCAACACAGCAGGTTACCTGGTGTAATGTTTTTCAACTAAAAAGAAACATGGTCTGACTCCTATCTAACTATATAAAGAGTAACTGAAGGTTAAATGCAGCTAATATGTCCTGTTTTAAGGCAGGCACGTACACCTCCGCTCCGCTGCATCTCAGCGACTATCGGTCTGGCACAAAGGGCGCTAGAGCCAGAGTAGGGGCGAGGCGAGCTGGAACAAACCATTTTGGGAGAGGGGTATCTATACTTTTGTTGTTAAAATATTACATCTCAACCAAGTACTGTATGCTTTCTATATTTTTTGCAGTGTATCACACACACACACACACACACACACACACTATCACACACACACACACACACACACACACACACACACACACACAAGACAATATCCTGTACCAAATATTGTCAAAAAAGTAAGAAATCTTTGAGGGTGCTTTGATTCATTTTGGGCACCCCCAAAAATGGGCTAAAACGCCCCTGCTGCCAACACAACAAACCTCATAAAAAAGATTAGGAGAGCCGGCTCTCACTGGTGGGAGTTTGCTCTTCTGATTCACTACAAAGCTGTTAATAGTGACACATCACTATTAACCACTTGTTTCAAAAAGTAGCCTGATGGTTCTCGACTATTCATGTTTAAATGAACTGGTACCAATATTGCACTTTTCTACCCATACAGTGCACTCAACAGTCACTACACTACTACTCTAAGGTGTACATCACTTCTCTCTCTCACACACACACAAAGCAGGAACAACTGGGGGCTCAGTATCAAGCTCAAAGATACTTCAGAACCTGCTCTAGCTCCTGACTCACAGCTACTCCATGTATGGAAACAAATATTCATGAGATAATACTAAATGGAAATACAATTGAAGACAATTATTTGAGAGTCAGAATGCCAAGGGACTCCGGTGGAATTTCACCCATTTAAAGCAGAAATTTCTTGGATGGTCTGTACCTCACAGCAGGTTGCGTTATTTCTGATTAATCCAAGCACCAAAAGGCTATAAACACAACAGAGGTAAAGCTCGGAGCCTTGTTCTGCTGGAGGTGTCTTCATATTAAAAATAATTTTGTTTTCTATTTTAAATGAGACTGTAGGCAGAACAAATGATGTTCCTTGGAGGTGCAGCGTTTTTTCTCTGCAAGTGTGGTAAGAAGAGAATAGCCAAAAGAGGGAAAAGCTGAGAGAAAGAAGTGAGAGCAGAGAGAAGTGAACAGAGTGAGAGACGTTTATTATAGATAAGGTACAGATGAGAGCAGAGGCCTGAAACTACCCAGACATACACAAACACAATTTTACTTGAGCTGGTTGGTAGAAAAGACGTGTTTAATTTGTGCTAATCTGAATCTTATCACAAAAGAAACTGAACTCAGGTAGAAAATTTACAAGAATCATCTAAAAACGGTCTAAAAATAAACTCTGCAGCTGGAAACAAGATCGAGAGGTGAGAGAAATAAAACCAACTTATGAGGCGACCTCAGCTGAAACAGGGACAAGTTTTGTGCGTCTCACTTTGATAAATAACCACGGACTGTCAAAGAGAACTGAAAGACAAGGTTTGCTTCTTTTTAAAATTAACAAGACATTTTTTCCAAACATAGGTTTACAACAAAAGATTGGCAATCATTACCAATACACATGTTGTTTAAAAACACAACAGTAAAATCAAACTAAAGGCACATGTACTTAGGTCCCGATGGGTTATCCTAATATCAAGAGACCAGAATGACATGTTGAACCCTTGTTTAAACAGATAGCATTAGCAAGAATCCTGTGCATGTGAGTGTGTGCATCCACTTACGGCTGCTTTTCCAATGACTGAGATGGGATTTAAACAGGAAACAGATGGCATCACCTTTGCATCCTTAATATGATTACAATGAGTCGATACATTCTATGTTGTGCTGTGAAGGACATTTCAGGGACACACATGTCCGAAACAAGCATAATTCACTTCAAACGATGACTATCATTCCTACAAATCTTTTTAAAATCATATAGAAAAAAGGTACAATAAACTTTCTAATGTTCTTTAAATGTAGAAACAATTTCCAAAATGATTGTTCAGAGACAGGATAACCAGCAAGAAAGTATGCAAGTGAAGGGGAAAAAAACAGAAATAGTGAAATTCTGACACAATGACTCTTGTGCATTAAGTGTTAAAAACTGTTGTTACACTTGGTGTTTAAACTACATTTTAAAATGACTGGGTGTAGGTAAAGAAACCCCCTCTAAGTAACGAGTGCTTCTAATGTAATACTGGTCATATTTACATTTCTTTCGACTCCTGTATGCCCACTGCTAGATTTCTTTTTCCCTTGAACATGTCATACTTTGGCAATGAACTACATGAGATTTGAAGAAGCGGAACAGTCCAGAAAACATCTTAAAATAACAGACATCCAAAGAGGAGCAGAGACGATGTAAATGGCTTTCAGAACAATGCCAGCCTGATGTTTAAACTGGTATCTGCTGAAAGAGTAGGTGGTTCAGAAAGGAATACATAGAGAAGTGACTCAGACTTCAAAGATAAATTCAGGGAGAGGTCAACTCTGACAGACAGTTCAACACGAAATAAACCACAGACTGCACTTTAAATGAAAACTACCAGTCTGTACTGCTCTAAAGAGGATCTCAACACCAGGTTAGATTTGAAGTCTTTTTCACCTGTAACCCTGGTAAACAAAGATAACACATTCAGCTGGTGTTTAGTTGCTCTTTAACATGTTGTACGGATCAAAGCAGAACTGCCTCTGGGCTGAGACTGAGGTAAGCACTGCTTCTACTGGTTGAGAAAATATATTGTAGTGAAATTCTGATTTTCTCATTTTTTTCACTGAAAACCATTCCAAGGAAATTTTCAAAAAGGGGACCACTGACAGTGACTTGTTGGCTTGTCACAGATCTGAATGTGACAAGGATTTGCATTAGATGGTAGACTTTGAAAAGGAGACTTTCAGATGGTGATTTCCTCCCATGTCGTAGTTGTGAAGATCCATCAGGGCTTGGATCCCTTCCTCAACTGATGACATCTGGATCAAAGCCATCTTACGGTCTCTTAATCGGGAAACAAAGAAAAGTTGAATGTCACAGGGAGCAAGAAAAACATGTTCACTCATGTTCACTTCTTCTTTAACATTAAAACTGCCAGAATTTGATAATTTGATTATTTCATTACAGGCTGCAATGTTCAAATATATATTAGAATGTTTTAATAAACCAATCAATAAACAGTTGGAGCTCAGGCTGCTGAGCTCTGGATTTCACTGCTCTGTACAGCCACCAGGTTCTCCATGTGTTCTCTCACACACTCCACCTTCTTTAACGCGCTCTGACACGACTTAGCATCCCACCCACGACCTTTCAATCCCGGAGTAACTATTCATCTTTTATCAATCCATCACATCCAGCTAGCTCTGCCTCATGTCATAGCAATATGCACATCAAAATGTGTGTAAACAATATGTGTTACTAGGCAACCCAACATGTTCTGTTCTTGTTATTCATTAATTTCTATGGGAACAAAATGATGTCCCATTTGATGAAAAAACCCATTATAGGAATGGTTTGGGAATATGAAATGATAGTGTTTTAATTTGACCACAGTTACATAATTAAAAAAATTCCAAAGGGTCAAAATGTGTTCTTTTGTAAGTTACCCCAGTGAATTGCATGCTACTTATCTAAAGTGTTTCAAAGTTTACTGCTTTTAACGTAAAGTAGAATGAATACCACTTATAGTGTCTTAAATAACTTCATCCTGAAAGGTTACTTACTGGAAAAACTTGAAGGCCTTCACAGTCCCTCCACTGTTGGAGAACAGAAGACGCAGGTCATCCTCTCCTACCCCATCACTAAACAGGAAAACAGCAACTGTTATAACCTTGAAGCAAAGAATTATAAATAATACAATGTGTCCGTGGCTATTTTACCGAATGTTGGAGAGGTGAAGCGTTGCTGAGGGTGGAAAGATGTTCTGGAAGTTTTTCGATCCTGGCTTCTTAAAGCGATGGAGTGGTGAGCCAGAAAAATCTGTGTATTGAAAACAAAATATCCACATCTTGACAAAAACACCTGCTAAAAAGTTTTGCTAATATTTCAATAACCAAATCTAGAAACTACAAACATTTTTAGACTCATGGACTAGGTCAGGGGTCGGCAACCTGCGGCTCCGGAGCCGCATGCGGCTCTTTAGTCCTTATACTGCGGCTCCGCGTGGTTTGGGAAAATAAATTAGAAGTATTTAGCTGAAGTGTGATTTATTTATGTTAGTTCTTTTTTAACTTGTAGTTCTAAATTGGAAGATTACTGTGATATTGAAATATAAAAATAAAATTATATTCTATTATTTTTTCATTGCTCAAAATAAGCGTCACACTCGTGGAAGCCGGTGTAGCCGCCGAAACGCCGTGCATTTATCGAGACTTTCAACCCCAGGTAGGCCAATTATGGATCTTCGGATCCACATTATGTCAGCAGCTGTTCTCCACCGTGATCTACGTTAAAAACAAACACCGCTCACGCCTCACAGACGACAGCTTACAGTCCTGCGTAAAGATGAAAGTCCCATTGTAAACATACCACGGCAGACCCGACGATGTTTCCATGAACATGCTTTTCAGCATCTCTTTATTGACCACTTTTCACACACGGTTGCTGTACGCATACAGCCGGCTGTAGCTTTTCAGCTCACAGCCCGACACATAATAACACAACAGCATAGATAGCACCCGTCTGTGCTATCTATGCGGGTACCGCTCAGGTGCGTCGCCTGCCCTGCAGCGGCGCTGCAGACCACGCCCCGCCACACACATTAACCAGGTAAAATACATATTTAGGCAGAGTTTAACAAATATCTATTTTTCATTTTTCAGCAGCATAGTGCTTTTTTTCCAATTATTTTTTAAAAGTCAGGTCAAAGCTCCAAAAGCCCAAAGGCGATATAACAGTTTTTGTTTGCTACGTGGATCATTTTAGTTCAGCTGGGTGTCTTTCCTTTTGTTATATTTCTTTAAGAGTTCAAAATGTGTTAATTACATAAATAAAATGTAATTTTCTCTGTAGCACTTCAAGGATTTCATAAGCAACACACCTTAGTTGTTCACACAAAGCATAAAGGTAAAAACAATATATACAGTGTTATCTTTATTTTAGATGTCAAAAAGTTTTTGCGGCTCCCAGTGTTTTCTTTGGAAACCGGGTCCAAATGGCTCTTTCGGTGTTAAAGGTTGCAGACCCCTGGACTAGGTGAACAATCTTTGAATATGGCATCTGGTTCTCCCAAGCAGGACAGCGCTGCCATTAAGACAGAGAAAAAACTTTCTAGCATCTTAAATTACCTTTAATACATATTGTTTTATGCACTTATGTAACTAGATCAGGCCACAGCTGTTTTTCATCAAATAACAGTTGTTTCAATGTTCTTTATTTAAAATAATGAAGTTGGCGATAGAAGTGTAACATCCAAAGGGGCAAAGTGAGCAAACTTTTTTTTTTAAAGTCAAGTCTCTCCTTTGACACACAATCATCTTTTTGGTATGCCACACAAATTTTGGTAAAGTCAAACATGTGGATCATAAATAACGAGATTTCCATACAGGATTTGTTGGAGTGTAGTGAAGGAAAACACACAGAGCGTTGGGCTGCAGTGGCGACACCTGTAGGGAGCAGCTATTCTTGATGCAGGGCTTGACACCAGCTTTGGAGTAAGGCTGCAGTTATCACTTATTTTAGTAATCAAGTATTTCATTGATTATTCCATCGATAAATTGGATAAGAAATACTTTTGTCTCATTAATGAGCAATAATAAATATTCAAAGGTGCAAAAACAAAAGTTTTAGAAATTGTAGTGTTTTAAGTTTGTACACTGTTAAAAAATTAAAACAGAATGGCTGTCTCCAGCCTTCAGCCAGTTGTCTAATTTAAACACCAAATTGGATTACATTAACATTACATTGGATTTAGGGCTGCCACAAACGATTATTTTGATAGTCGACTAGTCACCGATTATTTTTGCGATTAGTCGACTAATCAGATCATCATCCATTGGACATAAAACGTACAGCTTATTGCACCAGCAGCATCTGCCCTTATATAACTATCATTAGCTTACAGCTTTAAGTGTTTAAGGTCTGTGCTAACTA